CTTGTGTATATATGCAATGCTAGTCTTTATATGCAATGCTTGTCTATATGCTATGCTTGTCTATACATGCAATGCTTGTCTATATATGCAATGCTTGTGTATATATGCAATGCTTGTCTATATATGCTATATTTTAATGTATAGTTGGAAGTGGATCATGTTGTTGTCGCCGTCGGACTGGAAGCGAATGTTGATCTATCAAAATCTGCAAGACTTGAAGTTGACCCTGAGTTGGGAGGTTTCAGAGTTAATTCCGAGCTCGAGGCTCGATCTGATATATGGGTGGTAAGTCATAATGTAAATTTTAACAATCTACGGAACAGTAAGTCATATATACTTAAATATAATAAATCATGTCTTACTGTTTGAATCTTCCTAGGTCAGATAAGTGTTTCGGCTAACGACCTATTATAATATTACCAATAACAAATTGCATTGGACCATTATTTCGAAATTTTTTAGAATAGGTTAGTTGTAATTTTATTCTTACAACTTCCATTTTAAATCAGAGTGAATGAAAATTCATAAATGTCAAAAACGCAATAATTACAACCCCCGTATGTTATTTAAAATTTTAGTGAGTTTAAGATTCACCAAATCTACGACGCGGACCTGAAGTAATACTGCTCTAATTTTCACAGTTTCCTAACAGGCAACAGGGATGGAAATTATAGACTCCTTTTGTTAAACAAAGTCAGATCGTATGTGAAACAAATTAATACTGGTTTTCTAACACTAGCGGCTGTTTTCATGTCACGTCCGCGTCGTATGTTGGTGCATCTTAAACTCGCTAATAGCACATCAGCAGGCAACTGCCTGAAACTGAAAAGAAACTATTCAACGTGTCAGCTTGAGGATTTTCCTCGTACACTAATCTTGCCGAGAAGGACTCTTATTCTTAGGGCATTAAAAGGTGTAAACGTCGAGACTTGTTTTTCCAGTACAGAAATAGTTTTATTTCACATTCACTGCATTTGTATATTGAAGAATTCTTCGTACCTGTTTTACTCTTTTTTTTGTATTTATAATTTATTACCCTGTGTAATGTTGATTAGTTACCATTAAAGATGGTAAGAATATGAAATAATTTAGGCTGGAGATTCTGCTTGTTTTTATGATGTCAATCTTGGTCGTCGTCGTGTGGAACATCATGATCATGCTGTGGTCAGCGGTAAACTTGCCGGGAAAAATATGACTGGAGCAAAACAGTCGTATTGGCATCAATCTATGTTTTGGTAAGAAATGTGTTGTTAGTAATAGGACTATAGATCTGTAATAGGACTATATTCTGCGCTCTTTTGGCCGGCCTTCTGAGGCGTAAAGTTTAATTAATATCGATCTGATGTTACCTAGAATATGCTAAAAAGAATGTTGAATTATTTTCGGCGAAAACAATTATTAGACTATATATTGAAGTTATATGGAACTTGTAGGAGTGATCTTGGTCCAAGAATTGGTTATGAAGCAATCGGTTTAGTTGACTCAAGTTTACCCACGATCGGAGTTTTTGCTAAAGCTACATCACGTGACACACCAAAGGCCGCTGTGGAAGCTACTGGTGAAAATATTCGATCAAGCACACAAGAGCAGGTTATTTAGGTTAACTGCTTTATCTGGTCTGTTGAATATTATCAGAAGAACAATAATTTTGCAATATAATTTTGCAGGTGTTCGAATCAAAAGAGGAAATTGTTGAAATCGCGGAAGGTATTGAGTCTAATGAAATCAGTGATGTAGAAAATAATGAAGAATATGGCAAGGGAGTTGTGTTTTATATGCAAAAGAAAAGAGTCGTTGGTATTGTTCTTTGGAATATTTTCGAAAGAATGAACATTGCAAGAAAGGTAGGGTATCCATTTCAGTTCGTGGACATCTAACAAGATACACAATTTGTACGAGCTCGCTACATTCTCCTACTGATTTTGAAACAGCGAGGGCAGAGACATACGATATTTTTTAGGATTTTACAGGGAACGTTGCGAAAAATGAAACTTCCACCTTTACTGAAATACAAAAATACGGCTTCTCCCACGCGCAACTTTCTTCCGTAGCTTAGTTAGTAGTTAGAGCTTGATCTGCTCCGCGATCGCAAAAGGCGGCTAGGCTTAACCCGCAAACGGGCGTACTCTGGGAACGAGATTGACAACATTCCTACATGGTCAAATGTAAAAATGATGTTTTTTTTATTTTTCGACTTCGTTCTCCCAAAAAACCTTCCATAGCTAATCATGCGATGGCGAGCACAATTTGGGATAAATAGTAGGAGCGTTGTTTCAAAATTTTGCCAAAATTGTACGAGCCGCCAGGATATGACGAGTATTATTAATTGTACGAGCAACATCACACGATTATTTGTTGATGATAAAAAAATCGGAGTTTTTTTAACAAATCAATTGCAGTACAAGTAATGAAACAACTTTACTAGACTAATTATTATCCAGTAATTCTACGATGCTATTACGTCTTCAAATAAAGCAAAGGAAGTGTAATATACCCAGCACGCCATAATAAGAGCTCCTTGTCGAGCTCAATCTGACTTTTCTGCTGTGGTTGCCCCTCAGACACCCATTCATTCATTCTTTCATTCATTTATTTATTCAACGAACTTATATAATTATTATGTATGTATCCATTTTGAGACTCATATCTACTCGGTGCATCCAATTTGAAATCAACAAAAAAGCATTTTGATTGGATGAAAACACTTGCAACTAGCTTGCGAGTTAGTGGTTGTGATGAGTGAAGTACATAACGTATGTCGATATTAGAGATTTTGCCGTGTGGTTTTTTAACAATGCTCCTTGTCGAGGAAATCTTGCAAACGAGGAAAGTCCTTATGACTGTCGTTATGATTAGACTTTTATTGTTTGTTTTCGTATAAATTTTTAGATCATCATGTCGGAAAAAGACCAAGACGATTTAAATGAACTAGCAAAACACTTCAATATTCACACGTGACATCTTGTTGATACGTCATCACTTCATATGAGACGTCACTTGCAGAGAACATTAACTCAAGTCCACAGGTAAAACAGATAAGAAGAAAGAATAAATAGCCACTGAAATGAAAAGAAAACCGAAAACTAATTATTGAACCTGTCACGAACAATACATCGTGTTATCGTCCTAATTCGCCATGTTGTTTTAAAATATCGTAAGCGAAGTGGATTTTCTTGAAATGTAAATCGTCACATATTATCGTTTTTGTATTTTTACTTTGAAATAGAAGTTATTTACTTTAGTTACTTTGCCTTTATGACAATACAACTTTGACATTAATACATTTACACTTGTCAGCGAGACACCCCGGTAAACTGGATAAACATGTCCTGTGTTTATATGAGAGGATTTCTTTATTTAAACATTGGCTTTGCGTTGAAAGTTCATATCTGTTCCCATATATTGTTCGCTTTTAGCGTTTTAGCATTTGTATATTAAGAAGGTGCAGCTGTCACCATGGGCGTAGGACCAATGGGCCAAGGGGGCCAAGCCCCCCCCCAACTTTAAAAATAACAGAAAAAGTGCCCTTTTGCTGAGGTAAAGTGCCCTTTTTCTTTGTGGAAACGTTTATGCCAACGCAACAATATAATAATATAATTCAACTTTTTTCAACAATAATACGTGCCAATGTTAAATGCTCTTTCATCAGGCAAGTGCCCTAGACGTTAATGCCCCCCCCCCCAACTTAAATATGCTTCCTACGCCCCTGGCGACACAAGGGGCGGACTGGGCTGTTAGTGATTCTGGTGTTAACCGAGGCGTAACCGAGGCGTGGCCGTCTTCGGGGGCCCGAAATAAACAGCCTTGTACATCATGAATATATTAATATGTGCCCCCTCTTATATGAGCCTCAGAGCCTGCTACGCGAGATCTCGCTTCGTTCAGGCGGGATCTCGCCAGAGCCGGGCTTGCCCAGTGCATTCCATATCAATGCAATTTTACAAATATAGCGAAATAATATGTGAAACGAAATCCCAGCACTGTCGAGCTAACCCGTTTGGCCCGTCTTATATGAACAGCCAACGACCCCCTAGGCCTTAGACCGATGCATCTTTTTTTGAGCCAGTAGATGCATGGGTAGGATCCAAATTTAACCTTATAACAAATTCATTTTCATCGTAAGAAGATTTCGGTATCATCCGCATACATGGCTGGGGTAGTTGATTTCGTGTAATTATAGCAAATTCCCATTGACATTTCATTGCTGTACTCTGTTATTTAAATTCCAAATTGTTTATTCAATTTATTTAGCAAAATGTTTATAGATTGGATGGTTTATGGCTTGATCTCTAGAAACACGACACCGTAGGAAGTTGGGGACAACCACTGACCTATACTAGATGGACTGAGCGCGCGGCCTATTTAATCAGGAGCATATTGGGATCCCCGTTGCCAACGTCATCACGTCATATAAATCGTTGCTCTCATGCGTAAACTTGCAGACCGAAAATAACTGGCTCGTAATTCGGATTTCGAAGTGAGTAAAATATATCTTTCTTTTGAATTCCAATCTCAAAAATTTGCACAAGATACTCACTAGCATTTGCCCAAGATACTCGGTGGATACTCGGCCTCGAGCGCTCAGTCAATATAATATAGGTCAGTGGGGACAACATGCCTAATCTGACATGCGCAAGGACATTTATTTGTAATATATATATAAATATATATATATTTTTCTTGCGGTCCGAATTCATATTTTCCTGCAATCTGATTGGCTACGCGAGCGGTCCGTATTAGGCCGTACGGACCAGGCGAGATTTAAAAGCACAGAGCCAACGCTAAAACATGAATTCAGACCGCAAGAAAAAAAAATATATTATTTACCAGTTAGTCGGTCTGTATAGGGAAAATTTACCTTCGGTCTCAAAATCGTCCCTCGGGAAATATTTCCCTATACGGACCTCCAATCTGGTAAATAACATATTTTTATCCAACAGGAAACAAGGAATTTGAAAGTGGAAGTGCTGTTAAATTATTTTCATCAAAGATACATATGACATAGATATAGTAGGTCGAGGTCAACGGTGTTACATTTTGGTGAGAAGTCTAAGAAAGGTAAGTACAACTTCTATTTAAAATTCGTAATGGTTGTTTGTGCTGTCTTTAAAGTGTGTCCAATCGAACATAATAAGTCCTGAAATATTATTATAGCCTAATCTGATAGCAATTGCATAATTTATCGATAGTTCAACATGCATTTGTTAACTTGCATTTGGTTGCTACATAACTAATACGTATTGCTAATCCGGCCAAACTAGTACAAATGCACGTACCCTAACAGGTTTTATCTTGATTGAATCAAACAGTCGTAAATTTGGGAATATTTCAACGTAAGTATTTCAATGAATATTTTGGATTTTGGGATTGTTTGGACATTATTGTTTGTATCATTTGTGTAATTTGATACGCTTCTATAATTATATTGTTGCGTATGTTGTTATCATCTCATGCTTGAGCAGGTACTACACGATGCCGGAAGAATTTGAAAACGTTTATCCGTTAAAATATTTATCCGCGTCCACACGTAAACACAAAAACGATAAAGTTATTTGATCCTGCAATACACCTACATGTTTTCCACCCGCGTGTCACAGGTTGGATGTCGAATTCAAAGAAAAAATCTACCAAATCCAAAGTAAAAAACAAAAATGAGAACTTTGTTTGGACAGACAAGCCCGAACTCATAAATATTGTGGTTGAGTATCTATTAATGTCGGGTATAAGAAATTGTGTATAACCATACTCCGACATGTTTCTCGTAAAATACTTCCGCAAATGCTAAAAGAATTGGCGACGATTTTACTCACCATGAAAATAACCTAAATAAAACGTATTTGAGGCTAATATAGCAATATAAAATCGAGCATAAGACACCAGACTTCAAAGAAGCATTAATATGGAAACGATTTGATACGTGACGTCATCGTTTTCGAATTTATCCGGCAAAGCCGTCGTTTTCATATTCTTCCACTTCCACGTGTTGGCCTCTTATATAGACTATAGCCCCTTCTCTTTCTGCTTCCTAAGTTTTATTGGCTTTTCACGAATAGTATTCTTTCTAATCTTCTCACATCACAACTCACAAGATGTCAACTGTTTTCATCATGATTATGATCTAAAAATGTAATCCTTAAAGTTTACTTAACCCCCCTTCTAGATCTAATCTGACTATTGAGGCGATTCTTCATTACGTCCAATCTTTTCGTGCTCGTCACGGTCCGTCGCATGAGAATATTTTCAAACGAAACGAATGTAAGAAATGTCAGCTTTCCTGTATGTATTTCATCACTTTCATGTTCCCCGTATAAAACTTCATGTTTAAGCGACTGCATACACCCACAGCCGTTCAAGCATTAAATTTTATACGGCAAACATGAAACACATATAACGGCAAAAGCAAAGCTGAATTTACTGCTTAGTCTTTCCTAAATACATCAAATATAATCTATTGCTTTCTTACATTATTGCTGAACGAGTTAATAGTCTCTATTCACTATTGTGTTCATAAATGCGGACAGTAAACAATTAGTAGTTGTTACTTATTCATTCAGCCACAAAAAATTCACAAGGTCAAGTGTAAAACATTTTTTGTATAAACTACATAAAAAGACAGATTAGCGTTATCTCGACTGTATTTATGCCCGTCTTCCAGCAAGAGAATAAGTTGTGTTACAGTATATATGTAGCTCTACACTCCAATATACTATGCTATAATAACTGCACACCCAAAAACGCACAAGTTGTAACAAGTCTGCAAACAAGTTCTTACAAATTTTTCACAAGCTCGCAACAAGATATGTTCCCACGGGTTACTCCAACTGCCGTGTAAGATGCTACTTCAAGCGTTGACGCATAGTCGTGTCGTACTTAAAACATTCATCATTCATGCTCATTATATTGTAAAATATTCCACAGCAATAATTGTGTATACCTTATCTTACAAAAGTAACTAAATCTACCAACAAATTTAAGTTTTTTGGTGAGGTCTCGGGTGACGTAATACTTTCCCAACCGCGATACTGATGCCTGGTTTACATTTAGTCGTGACTGTCTTGAATATGGTCGTGAACATGTCAAGGAGGCTGGCGTGATTGAATATTTCTATTGAAGTATGTGCGCACAGTCAACAATCACCGATCAATTGAATACATCAGGTTTGATCAGCTTCATAGAAGATCTTGGCATTTGTTTTTTTTTATTATGGCGCACAGCCGCACACGATGCTGGAAGAATTTGAAAACGCAAAATTATTTCTCCGTTAAAATTTGTATCCGCGTCCAAACGCTTAAATTACTTGATCCCACAGTTCCACCCTGCGCACTTCATTTGTTCAGTCCTGTTTTTATCAACCGGGAAAAACTCTTATGATTTTACCAAAGTAGATACTAATTATGTTTTCACATAGTAAAACCATGTAATTGTAATTTTTAACCTTTTTAGGATTCATGCATTCGTTTCTTTTCTTGCTAACGGTGCTAATTTGTCTACCTGCATCGACTACCGCAGTGCTAGTGGCATGTAGTGGTTCAAACAGCACTTGTCAGGAAGCTTGTTTGAAACATGGATGTACAAAGTGGGATTGTAATGGGTCCTTATTAAATTTCTGTGAACAATCATGTTTCCAGAAACAATGTTCACATTTAACATGTGACAAAACGACGCACAGATGCAATCAGGAATGTGGTGGATGTAAAACTATGAATTGTTATTCATCGGAGTGCAACCAAAAATGTTTAACTGGATATTGTAATCATATTACATGTGATGCTGCAATAAATTGTCAACAATTGTGTGTGTTCTGCCGTAACCAGCGTTGCTATAACATTAAAGAATGCATTCAAACCTGCGTGGAGTCAGATTGCTCATTGAAATGCCTAAAGTCCGATGTATGTCTGCAAAACTGTCACGGAAATGGCTGTTCAGCAAATTGCCATAGTAATGAAAGCTGTCTTCAGACCTGCCATGACAAAGCAAACTGCACAAAACTCATATGTGAATCAGAATCTTGTCAACAAAATTGTAAGAATAGTTCTTATTGTGGTTTACTATCTTGCCATGGCAAAAATTGCAGGCAGGAGACATTCGTGGAAAAATCCGAACTGGTATGTACATCTTCTCGCTGCGAGGAGCAGATTTCTCATGCTTCAAACACAATATTATATTGTAATAGCGTCGACGGTTCATGTATACAAAAATGTTATGGCAGTGGATGTGTAATGACATGTGGACAGGACGTGAAAAAATGTCAACAATACTGTGGTGGTGGCAACTGTAACATGACCTGTGCATCTGGTGTTGGTACTTGTAGCATTGAGTGCCCTGGAGGTAACTGTACGTTCTCATGTGGCCCAAAAAAATGTGGTGTACCACATGAAACTTCCAACGTAAATGTAGAAGGTAACAATGAAACTAAGAGTAAGGCTTTAGATATCGATGATCGTCCAGAATGCAAAAATTCTGGTAATAAACTTTCACTTCTTTTTCTTATATTTCCCTTCCAAATTGCAGTTTTCATTTCATGAATTTTTTTCACCGTCTCTGTAGTTCATTGTATTCGTACGATGTATTTAAACTTATCCGTTGTTACACAATATGCACAATTGATATTTAATTCATTTCAGGGTATACTACAGATAACATAAAAAAGGGGTTGTTTGAAGTTTTTTGTTATTGATATTATTGGTGTTAATATAGATAATAGCAAAGTAAAACGCGCACTAAATTACAGCCTGACAGTGGTTGCCGTAATACCGTTGTAGTGTCTGATTGTATATATTAATTCAGCAATAATTGGGCCAATGACTATTAAATTGGTAACGAGGATTTTTATGCGTATGCGTGATGGACATGTACGTTTGTGAAATTTCTGCAAACAATTCGAACATAGAAAATTAATAGTGAAAAAGGACTTTTAGACTATTTAGACATAGAGACATAGGAATGATTTTAAAAAAAATGGGAATTTGTAAGAAATATTCTGGGATCGATTACTTTCAGTCATCATCTTAAAAAGCTTCAGGCTTAAAATTGTCTGCAATTTGGCTCCCTACAGTTTCTTGGAAATGCTCAAGGGATATTAAGCAGGTAAATGTTTGGTTTTAGGCAACATTACCAAACTAGAGCTAAAACCTATTCAGAACTTACCGCCTGGCACGTATTGCTGTTACAACATCCGCACTATAGATCACACACACAGAAATTATTTAACCTTTCTAAATGATGAAGAATCTTTAGTGTAAATTTTTACTTGAGAAATTGGCTCGGTTTTTCCTTTTGCGTCACAGTTATGGAAAGCGCGTCACTTTGAACATGAATATAATGGGTGGGGTCATTTCTTAGGAATACATTCGCCATTCGTTACGTAATTTAATTAATTTCTGATATTTCCATGCTAAAACGTTCGTTTCTCAGACAATTGTGAATTGGAATTTCAATAATTTTTATACTATTCGCGGGAAGAACAGACTCTATGCCAATAATCATTAATGCTCTATGCCAATGGCATGATTGGCATCGCATTTTTGATGCGTAACATTTCATTCGGCTTTACATGAAGTTCATCACGGTGTAGGAACGAAGGTTAATTAATAAAATAAAAAGATAAAATGAAGACGTATAGTATTATATTTATTTTCCTAAATATCTACATCAAATATTGTCTTGGCGAAGACGAAATAGAGGAATCAAATGCAAGACATTTTATTGAAGGGAAGGTGGTAATCCAGGGCGATAAACTACCAGGTATATATAAAATAGTTTTTATGTATGAATCATATTTCAATATACATGATAAATTTTAATATTAAATTCTAACCAAGTGAATGTTTTATAGTGCAGACGTTTTTATAGATTTTTTATCAATGTCTTTATTGTTTGCATAGTTAATCTAGTAGTACTTAGCTTTAATAGATTGGCTTTAATTTTTGGACGTTTTTCGAAATCTATAACTTTGGAGGTGCAAAATACAATAGTTAATGGTTTGTCATTTGCTCACCTGCCACGCCAGTAGGTTTTGGGGTTCATTAAAAAGATTAATTGATATAGAGTAGCTCAGAATGATTTTGTCATGCTTTAGAATGGACAAGTGAAACTCGAGTCCTTGTGAATGGTGGAGAATATGTGGGGTTTCTTAAAGGCGATGGCTCATTTATTATAAATGATGTTCCATCTGGATCATATATTGTTGAAGTGGCTTCTCCCAATCATTTATTTGAACCTATGCGTGTGGATATTAATGCTAAGCGTGGCAAGATAAGAGCAAGGAAAGTAAACTTTCTTCAAAATTCAGCTGTTGTTACACAACCATACCCTCTGAAATTCAAAACCAAAGAACCTGCCAATTTTTTTGAAAAACGTGAAGCATGGAAAATTAAGGATTTTCTTTTCAATCCTATGGTAAGAACACATTTTTCAATTGTATGCCTGGTTGTCACATAATTTAGCAAGGGCATAAGGTAGGACCAAAAGGTAAAACAATGAGCAACATAAGCACCAACATAAGCACAACAATAAACATAAGACTTCAAGCATAAACCAAAACTCAATTATTTTCCTTTTTTTGCACTTTTAAGCTGGAATGTTTTATCTGCTATGCATATCTTCCCCCCCCCCAGTTATTTTAAAGACCACTTTTGAGATTTTTATAAATTTGAAGAGAAAAAGGGGGGGGGGGTACAATGATTCTAATTTCCAACAGCCTTGTAAATAAAGAAATTTTTTAATCAATATTACTTTTGATCACATTAAGAATAACATTTGAATAACCTATTAGCATAGGAAAAGACTAGATAAGAATGAGTTGGATAGTCTTGTTGACACATTTTGATTAGCTAACAACAGAAAGTTGCCCTTGTGAAAACTGTTTGTTTATAACATTTAAACCCCCCCTAGAGGTCTCGTGCTTTTGGCATTTGCCTCGTACCCCCGAGTCTGAACAACCTGGCGACGCCACTGCCTTAGAATGAAACCTCCTAGGGCAAATTCTCTTCTGGGACCACAGATCATTTGTTCCCACTTGTAATTTTGAGAAGTTGTTGAATTTTGATAATTTTGAGCCTGGTTTACATACAACTAGGGCATGCCTGTCTCATTATCCTTTATATATTTTGATGCATAAATTCCTTTTAAAATTATCTGGTTTATCCTAGTGCTTAATAAAAATCCTTTCTTTGTTTCATGTACAGTATGAACTTCAACATGCCCGAGCATTGTAAGGATTTTTTTTCAAAGACCCTGTATTATGAGTAAGACTTGTGATGTTCTTGTCTCAGGGGGGGGGTGGGGGACTCAGAATATTTCTATATCATATATGCCCTCGACGGGGACCACAGCTCATGTATTTGCCCATGCTGTACTAGGATATTAGCTAAATTGTATACCATTCTGAAGGTTTTAATGATGGTTCTTCCATTGCTTTTGCTGCTTGTGTTACCGAAAATGATGGGACAAATGGATCCAGAAACACAAAAGGTAATACTCTTACTCATTTATTTAATTTGATCTAATACGCAATGCTGAATACCTTAAATGAGAACATACAGTACTACACCTCAGTCGACCGATCAAGATCGCGTTGTGCACCTGGTAGGCAGCTTTTATTCTTTCTTACCGGCTATCTTTCTTTTTGACAAGCAAATAAAAATGCTGTTAAGAAGTCATCTGGACTACAAATCATTTGTTCCTATCTTCTTTATTTAAAAAACTTCCTAAGATTTGAAACTCTGTTTTTTCTGTGGGTAATTTTACCTTCTTTTCATACCTCCAGGAAATGAATTCTATGAATATGTTTAACCAATCCCAAGAAATGCCCGAGTTCTCCGATATGCTCACGAACTGGTTTTCCTCGGGATCAAAGAAGAAACCTGTTAAAACTGTAGCTAAGAAAACTCCAACTGCTCGACGACGATAGAAATATAAAACTACTTGCAAGTTATTGTTACTTTCTCTAAACAGCAAATTTAAAGACTTTCAAGCTTAAAGGCTGTAGGGGGCTTTAATAACCTGACTTTTTCTTTCCTTCATGCTTTTTCCTATAAAATGTACTTAATATTGCACCAACACCTCACATTTGCGATATAGGGGTGGGAAAAATAGCGCACCACTCGGACCATCGGTAGAATTGTTTTTAGTTTAAAGTAGAAAATGGCAGAAAGAAAGCAAGGAAAATGAAACAGGGACACTGTTATCAGCTTTGTTTTCAATATTAGGAAATTATTAATCTTAAGGTATAAGTGCTTGGTCGGAATCTATCATGCCCATAATGCATGTTTATTAATGGCACGGCTCGGTTAAAAAGGGTATAGTTTAACTTTAATCCTTACTCAGCCTTTGGTTTGTTAGCTTGGGCACAGATAAAATTAGGTTTAGCAATTTTAGCTGTGGTGTGTCAATAAATTGAATGTAAACGGGCTATCATGTACCATGCCAATTTATAAAATTAAATTTATCACTGCACAATACAGCAAAAATAAGGTATAAATTAATGTATTTGACTATTTGTAACGTTTAAGAAATGCTCTTTAGGAATTGATTCTGCAACTTAAAGTTTACGTAATTGAATGATTATATGTTTATAATCATGTGCTGTATAAAAGTATGTGTATTATATGATCCCATTTTACCACCGAACAAAATGTGACGTTGCATTTCTTTTGTCATCGATTTCCTTCTGTCAACGGTACAAACGGGTCTTCATTAGGGCATGCGAAAAATATTTTAAAAAAGATTTTTGTGAAAAATATTCCTGGTGACTTGTTGTACGCCGATAATACAAGAACAATCTTTTTCTGGTCTCCGCTCAAATTTTGTCAAAGCTTGTGTAATTACATCAAGGCTTTGAAATCTGGTAATTTTTAACTTTTCTTGTAAGATTTTCTTACTCGTGTCTGAAGTCGTTCGTTGATTATCTTCTAGATTTGTGACGTAACTTTCCTGAGGTAATCAGCTTGAGATGTGCTTATTCTCAACCATTTTATTAAGTATAGGATTTCACGTGAACTTCAAATTCAACCATATTTTCCCTTGAAGTATAACCATATGAAGTTTTACCCAGGGAATGACCCACACAGCGTTACCTTGTCGAATTCGAAATGATTAAAGAATTAATCATTCTTGTTTAAAATACTTATCTCTTCCGATAAAGATTATCGAAGTATAGTTAGATTTAATTAGCTGAAAGACAAGGAATATCTGCAAACTTGAAACATAAATGATCATCGTTCACAGCAATTAAGCTCTTGAACATACTTGTTATAAGAGTTGGTCCTTTAAGATGAAGCTGTATTTTTATGTATTCTCTTTTTGTTAAACAAAGTTGAGGTAGTGCAATGCCACCATATATGTTTTTAACGCTCTTTTCTCTTTATCAATATCAAATGACCACTTCTGAATGGAATGCGATTGCAGGGTAAATCTAAAATATCGCTTTCATCAAGCTTCGCTGATGGATTTAGTAATGATCCTTCAAATATTGCAAAATACTGGATATTTTCCTTGAATACACCAAGTGTCTTGGCAACAGCTGTTAATAGGTCTTTAACTAGGATTTTGTGTTGGTAATGCTGAATATCGATTCTTCGTAGTTGTTCTGGAATTAATGTCCATACGCAAACATTGTGATGCTTGCTGGGTTTATACTTGCTTTCATTATTCATGTCTAATTGCAGACAAGAGATTTTATGATCCTATTGAGCACGAAATTCGTTGACGCCGAATATATATATTCTTATCTTCTCATCCTCGTATTAATGCCTTAGTGTTGCCCAGGCACTATATATGTATATAAATAAACATTGGGGGCACTATAAGATTCTGATAAAAAAAGATTTAAAAATAACATACCTGTGTTTATACACGATAATTGTGATGAAAAACAGCTTGCATGACATAAAAAAATACAATGTGGTTCCATATTTTAGCCTCGTTTTATACTAGGAATCCCCTAATATATAGGAATATATGGGCTGGCAGGTTTGGCGCCAGTATGTTGGAATATTGCAAACAGAACTATACAGGGTGTATCAGAAAAAACTAGAAGATTTTAAAATGTCCAAAAAACTATCATTTTATCAAAATATCACAAAAATATACTTACGTCTAAGTATTTTAGCATCTTCTGGCTTATCTAACAGTAAAAGCTATCAGAAAAATTAACCTAAAAAAGCGGGAAAACGGTTTGTAAAAGCCTCATTTTTAACCGCTTGCGCAAAGAAAATGAGAGGTTCAAAATCCAAGTTCATTTAAAGAGATGAAAGTTTGGACCCTTTTGTGCAAAGTATCAAAATTTCAGGAAATTTAATAAACATTAAGTCCGCCGTGGAACGTTTCAAAATTGGACTTTTTCCGTTTACTCCGCTCTCGCGTAACCTTTTTTCATGCAAGAATGATTACATGCATGAGTGATGGTTCGAATGACGTACTTAAACATAACTAACAATGAATACTCTTGTTTCATTGTTTTATTTAACAAAGAGTTTTGGTAATTACATCTGGAGAATGCAAAAGTAGGGCAGAAGTTTGCGTGCAAAGAAATGGAGGACATGTTGAGAACTAACAACAAATTTTGTAAACTCTGCTCTTGTTTGCAATTGTGTACTGTTTGACGTTTTTGTGTAGTTTATTTTTAACAATAGCATATTAGATACAGCATCAATGTAAGGAGGTATAACAATAGGATTGTAAGTAGCTACGTCATTCGAACCATCACTCATGCATGTAATCATTCTTGCATGAAAAAAGGTTACGCGAGAGCGGAGTAAACGGAAAAAAGTCCAATTTTGAAACGTTTCACGGCGGACTTAATGTTTATCAAATCTCCTGAAATTTTAATACATTGCACAAAAGAGTCCAAACTTTCATCTCTTTAAATGAACTTGGATTTTGAACCTCTCATTTTCTTTGCGCAAGCGGTTAAAAATGAGGCTTTTACAAACCGTTTTCCCGCTTTTTTAGGTTAATTTTTCTGATAGTTTTTACTGTTAGATAAGCCAGGAGATGCTAAAATACTTAGACGTAAATATATTTTTGAGATATTTTGATAAAATGATAGTTTTCTGGACATTTTAAAATCTTCTAGTTTTTTCTGATACACCCTGTATAAGCCAGGGTTTAAAAAACAGCTGCGAATAAAGTCGCTATTGCACTATGCACTTTTCTTTGCAAATTGCAATGCAATTATAATTTTGAGGGAAATAGTGGCGTAGAAAGCATCCAGAAATTAGGGGGGGGCCAGCTTCCTGGGGTACTTTTGGTTAATGAAAATCCGGGCAGCTAAAAATATGTACAGGGACGGTTGATTGCCAAAACTGCGAGGACAGCACTATAATAGTGTGGTTTATATTTATGCTCTACAAAAAGATTTAGGCAAATATAAGTGGGCATATAAGTGGGCAATATGTAGGAAACATATGCTCACACAGATCGTAAAAAAATGTTCGTATTTGACAACTTTAGATGCTTCAAGAGTAGAATTGCATTGCAAGTTGCAAGAAAAGTGCATAGTGTACCGCCTTTAGCCACCGAATTAGTATCACACGAAGTATACCTTTATTATACCAAATTTGTGTATAGACTAAGCCAAGGCAAGGGGTTGCGATAAGCCAATATACGTCTAGTACCGCGTCGGTGTTGTTGAAATGCACAATCATAACGATGTTAACATTCTTCGTTGAACGAATATGGAGACTGAAACTGAAAACTTATATGACTATAATGACAGCAAAAAAAATGGCTGACAGCCTGCTAAATAATTTGCATCATATGGTACTCTGGAGTACATTCACGTGCTCTTATCTTTATTTCTTTCCAAACTGATTATTTTGCTCTTGGTGGCAGGCATTGTTTTCCAAGTAAAGATATAGAATCGTCGTTAGAGCCTATAGGTACAAGCTAGCTAGGGAGGTGAGGGAGATCTTAAGTAGAAATTCCCCGATTTTTCATTTGGGTCGCACGCACTAATTTCCTGGCACGGCGTATTTTCAAAATGTTGTCATATAAGCATAGATCATTGAATTCAGAACCAACCCGATCTACATTGAATTCTGGCTACCTGAATTGTATAGTATACACTTTAATACTATCAAGAAAACTGCGTGCATGTTGTGTCCGTGCTGAATGACGATCTTTTTGAACTCGCTATCACCACATTAAAATGTTCAAAAGCGGGTGAAATAAATTTACATTAGTCAAAGTACTGAGAAAAAGGGTTAAACAATAGCTTAGACGACTTAGACGAGGTTTGAAAATATATATAATATAAAATGTGTATTGTCAAAATAGTATTTTTTTAAATTGTACATAGTCAATCTGTAAAACACGTGAGTAAATTTTACAATGCCTTGGGATTATATGAAGTTATGAACATGGAGGAATTCTGTTTTGGACTAATCAGCAACTTTGTTTTGCTTTTTAGTAATGCAATCGGAATGCATAAATTGTCACTAACCGGCTTTTGGTAAAAAGGTACATTTTTACAATTTTAGATGACTGATTGTTTAAAAATCCAAGCTTTGTCTACTGAAAAAGGAAAACAAATTTGCTGATTGGTTTAAAACGAAATTCCTCCCTTGTTACTGATCTAGGTGACCTATATAACATGAGATTTGCCTTTTGATTTGTTTTTTAAGATGATGTCAAAGTAATCGTTCTAGTTTACTTGCAGATCTCAGTCATATGACATATAAACAAATCTTACCAGACGTCAACTTTGGCACATTTCTTGATTTGTAATGCAATCAACTCCGCTTTATCTCATTTAAATCTACACATATACCCACATTTCGTAACCTTGCTTCACGAAAACAACTGCAGTTAGCCATCTTTTTCCCATCTCATTAACTCTTGTGATAAACATGAAACAAGCCGACGTAGAGTTAATCCAATTTCGATTAATATTTAATTTTGCCCATGCTGCAAAGTTAACCAAATAATATATTGAGATTTTTTATTCATCTTTAAAAAGTACCACGCTGGGTACGACTGACTTAACTGATCAGAAAGTCTGGAATTCTTAAGTCAAAAAAAATAAAAAGCTGTGTTACTCCAGTGGCAGTGCATTAATTGGCAATGCTGTACATACATGAGACAAATTTCTTACCCTATAATGGCTATATGCATACTGACTATATTGTACTTTCAAATATTCCGGGATCTTTTACAATATGTAGGTGGATAATTATATTCAGTTTAGAGAGGTAGAAACCGAATTTATTGGTCGGAATTATATTCATTTTGCATTTGAATGAACACGAATATAATTTATCTGAAATTAAGATATCCTTGAAACAAACGACCTCTTAAAAAAAGAAAGTCTGAAAATAAAAAAAAAGGTTATACATTAAAATTAACAGGCATGCAGAATACAGTATATAAAGCGAATTATTGTTAAACTATATAAATACGGTTTTTGACTCAGTGCAATGAGTTCAGCTAGTATGTCTCTTGCATAAATATAATGCGATTGTGCGTAATGTCACTAATGATTTGATGAAAACCAAAAATACCATAGCAGGTTTTATCTGGAGATCAATCATCTGCCCTAAATCATCTTCATCTGTTTTGCTGAAGAACATTCTTTCTAATATTTTTCTCTAATATTTAATAACGTGTTAAAGAATGAAAGTTTTTAGCAATACGTCTCCCTGGTCTTGCCAAATACTCATTCATATATAGTGAGTACAGCATATATACAACAGCATTGAGTTAACACTTAAACCATGCAGTGTGTCAGTTTTTAGCAGCTATTCACGAAAGCTGAACATCCTGAATAATTTTTGTTATCATGTGAAGGACCCACACAAAAGTTCATGAAGAACCGCGACTCAACGTCTCATATTAATGGAGTTTAGATATAGATCCATATCTGCGGAAAGATATTCAAGATTGAAACAGTCGATACCATGTGAGAATTGTCTCCGGTAATATTCTGTGAAATTTAGATATGCAGTCTTATATTTATCATATGTATTAAGGCGTGTACTCTTACATATTTTTCACCATGCGGGAGATCATGGGTCAATTTAATATTATAGATTGTGATAAAAGCAAATTTTCGTGGTTTTCTTTTAGTTTTCACTTGTGTACACCAATTCTTGCTTCATTTTTACTCCGCTGAACGCCAGCGACTTACAAACATGTTACAAACTCAGGGCTTCACAAATTACGAGAAAACTGCATGCATGTGTACAAAATAATTAACGCTCATTCGGAAAATGAAATTGTTTTAATAACTGCAAGTTTTAGCTATGCTTCAGTCACTCATGTATAAGTAATGAAGCTTTTGTTTGGTTAAAGCCTTTGCGTTATTCTATTCCGAGTCATTTTATTTACGGTAGAATGTCGCGCGGCCGACCATTGGTATACTCAGCCGACCGACAGCTTATGATGCATGCGTCTTGAAAATACGGGGTATAATGGCAGTACTCAATTTCCACACTTTCTTTGTTTCGTCAAGTGTGGGTAGATCATAAGTTTTGCCATAATGATTAATAAATTACTCTCAGATATCGTGTTGTGAAGACTCACGCTATATTCCTAGTTGTTAACAAGCGTCATGTTGCTGGGTAAGATAGGGGAGATTACACAACGCTGTATGAGTTATAGGTACCGATTGCCCACAAATAACAAAAGTCAAGAAATTAGAAATATAGTTAGCACTCTTGGAACGCTTAGAAACAGCTGGTTCCAAAGAACATTTAAAAAGATAATATTTCTTCTAAACATAAAAAGACTTGCAAAATTTGCATGTCATCAAGAATAATTCTTCTTAACTGAACATCTGACGTTTAGTTCGCAATTCAAATGAAGTTTAAATTGATGTTATTAATAATTCACAATTTTGGGCGGTACAAAATATAATGCACAAAGTGAAGCTTTTTGTATTTTCATTGGTTTTCTATAAGCTAGTCAGGGAATTGTTTTGGAAAATATGACCCAAGTATAATATTAAAATGCAAATTTTTGGTCAGCTCCGTGTGGCGTAGCAACAGTTAAAAGCAGATGTTGGGGTATTGCTACAAAACTTGGCAGTAATTACAGTGTAGAAGAAAGTATTTCATCCTCTTATTTCCTAACTAATCACAAACTATGGGAAAGAAACATAGCACCTTATCAGATGAACATCTTGAAAGACTCCGATCAAAGACACAGTTTTCCGATGAGGAAATTCAGAAATGGCATGATATATTTAAGAAGGATTGTCCAAGCGGTAAAATGTCGCGTAGCAAATTTGAGGAGTTGTATTGCAGTTATTTTCCTGAAGGGGACGCCAAGAAATTTGCCAGACATTGTTTTCGAACATTCGATAAAAACAACGACGGAACTATAGATTTTCGCGAGTTTTTGTGCAGTTTGTCAATTATATCTCGTGGTTCCCAGGAAGAGAAGTTAAAATGGGCATTCTCTATGTATGACATAGACAGCAGTGGGACAATAAACAGAGAAGAAATGTTGGAAATTGTGCGTGCTGTCTTTAAAGTCGCTGGAAGAACGAAAGTAAAGTTAGCAAGAGATGAAAGTACTCCTGAACGAATGGCACATAAAATATTCTCTTTACTTGACGCCAACAAGGACGGAAATATAAACGAAGCTGAATTTATCGCTGGTGCTAAACAATATCCAACGTTTATGAAACTGCTTGAAAATCCAAGCTGTATGTGATTTAAAGTCTTGTTGTAATAACCCAATTAAAAGAGGGATTGCATATTTAGCAAGTAGTATACACTCTCCTACAGTTCTATTTAAAGCACGAAGTATATATACACAAATATGTATGCTTGCATGCATGTCTACAAGCATGGCGCGAATAAAGAACTTTAAATACTTGGCTTTATATAGTATGATACATCTGTCCATGTAAAACGACATAATGGCTTAAATAATCTATTATTTATTCTCAACAGATAAACTATTATCAGTTGTAGTTTTAGGTAGCTCATTTTGATAGAAGCAATAATTAAAAGCTAGATCATGATGGGTGACATCTTGGGCACTTATCTCAGTCTCGTGCATATGTTGTCGGAATATATAGTTTAATTATCCGATCGCGAACATAGATCCATGTACACAGCACGTTTTTACACGCATTTTAGTTTATTGCATGTACAATATGCCATTTAATGATATTTAGTTTACGCACAGTCACAGAATTCACTGCTAAAATATTACTGTGCTTAAAATAATCTCACGGAATATTGTCAGTAATGACTTTGCTCGTATGTGAACACGATAGGCTTAGATACAACAAGTGTAGTTAGCTTGGTTAACTTGTCACTTTATATTTTCTCATTGTTCTAGCTACTAAAGAAAACCACATTATAAAATTCAACCTTTTTACAGAACTGCGAATTCGATTACAACACGTCATGATCTTTACAATGCAAGTGACCAACAATTAGTTTTGAGTTCGCGTTTACTTTTAGTTTGGTTTGACAGCAAAATCAAATATTGTAAATGATTTAGCAAACACCAGGCTTTTGAACACGGCGTTAAACAGAACGCCATCGACATCGGAAAAGTACCGGTAATTTAACAAGTATGTATAATTAAGAAATATCCAGTACTGCACAGACACAGTATTATAAAAACGATTGATGCAAATCTAATAGCGTTGGGTTTGACAACAATCAGCTAGTATATAAAATTTCATTTAAAATATGTAATGACGTATAGGCGGTATAGAAATGCACAATGTGAGAGGTCCGATTTTAATAAAGTTTACTATATACTAGCTGAGATGACTGTGTCTCTTATTTAAAACATGGTAAGTTAAAAGGTGGAAACTGAAATCTTTTTATCTGTACAGAAAAGTATACAATTATGGTCTATGCATGCATGGTAAAGTAGCCTAAATTTAAGAAAACGATAATGATATATATTTCAGTTTGTCGCATACAAAATTAGTCAGTCCTGTAATTTTTTGTTATCATATAGTTGCAAACCAAAACAAACTGTTTTTGCCGGAAAAAGGTTTTGGCCCAGCAAAAAACACAGTCCTGTGTCAAGCTTGGGTGTCGTTCGCACCCGAGTTTTTTAGGGGAAACAAACCTCTAGAGAAAATGCTATTTCCTTTTAGCCTTTAGGGCAAGATTTTCGCAATATAAAAATATAGCATCATTGCAATACCTAAATCAGTATATTATGTTCAGTTCAAAAATAGGAAAGGCCTCTGCCGGGGCTCGTGGCAAATTGCCCCTCGTAAAATTTAGAATTTAAAGATGGAATATTTTTAAAAACCTTTTTAAAGGAGTAGTGGTATAACTTTTGAATCTCGTGGTCTGGGATGCGTTTTCTTAGTCATTTTGACTCGGAAATTTATAAACCAAAAAACGAGATACATGATTAAAATTTTACAGAAAAACTGGGTATCTGTGGTAATTTTAATTGCATTTGTTTCATGAGGTTTGTAAGTGTTTGATGGTATTAATTATTTAAAAGCATTCAGTAACATTTTGAGGCGCCGTAGGAATCAGTCTTACTAAACAATCTAACAATTATTCTCTCACTAGTAGGCGAGAAGAGCGAGAAGACATCAACTATGATGTCATGTCAGCATCGGAGCTAGGCCCTGGGGACGAAATAAAATGGCGGGTTGAAATAGCACTTTTCGACTGTAAATTGAGTATATTTATGTAGCATATTCCAAATATGTTTATTTGAAAGCCTTATGGGTCAAAAATACGTCAAGACACTTCAAATTGTTCAGGAAAATGCCGTAACTCTTCGAGATTTGACTTGTCTGACTTATGATGGCTTAATAAGTAAGTTGAAACTTTTATAGCTACACAGGTTAATGAGTAGTTGTTTTATTCTCAACTTGTTTTATTATATGTGTGATTCATGTCTCATTGCCATTGGTAGTTTTTGGTGGGTAAAACATTCCTGAAACTATTTTGTTTTCATTTTATGCTTGTTACTCCATCTTAAGAAGCTGTTGAGGAATTGAATATAATGTAAGTAGAAACACATTAATGCCAGAAATACATAAATTTAAGACTAATTCTACCTAGACTATGTGTGATTACCTGATAACTATACAGCTGAAATTTCTTTGAATGATATGTCAAAATTGGTGGTATGCATGTGCGTATTGACACTGTTATTAATAAGTACGTCAAGACATGAATGATACATCCATATCTTTTGCTCTTACCTATGTGCCAAACCTCTATCAGTTCCATAAAGCATATAATTTCCATCATTAGCAAACCTTGTTAAAACATAATGTAAAAGGCCATTTTAATATAATATGTATCTAATAATATTCTTGTACATTTGCATGGTGCCATCAAATAAGTAAATTAGCTTGTAGGTGGTACACCACTTAAGTATTTATTACTGTAAAGTAAGTAAGTATTTATTACATTTGTAGTAGTAAATACTTACCTGGTGTACCTACAAGCTAATTTACTTAATATGTATGTTGATTAAAGATCATTAAACTGCACTTTGTCATTGTAGACTTGATGAGCTAACACAATGTGAAGGAAATGATTTTCAGTTGCTATTTACAGTATCATCAACTGACACTAGTTATTTATGGAAAGCATTTGTTCAAGTAACCTGTTGCAAGGTACCAATAATATTGTACATTCATATCCAAAAACTAATTGTTGTTTGATATTCTATTTGGCGAGAGGTAAAAACCAAAAAGTGATTTTAAGTGAATTCAAAGATGGCTTACAATGAGGCAGTACTGTATGTCAGGCTTTGTTTTGTTGTCAGGCTTTGTTATACAACTTCTGGTCTTTGAAGCACTTTTGATCAGATGTAATATTACACAACTTAACTGTGGTCTCAAAGCCTGCCTGTAAAGACTGTCATTGTTCTAATCATTAGCTATCTGGCCCTGTTACGCAGTACATTTCTTTATGCAACTATGAAATGGACATAAGGTTTCCTACACTTTCTTTTCTTGACTCTTCACTAATTTACATCTCTTAAAAGTTGAATTATTCCAAGTTGCATTGCATCGCATCTTAGCATTTCGAACACTCTGATTAACATCCCTAAAAATGATGGTTGCATAGTGCAATGTTCAGCGACTTTACATAGCTATATGTTACCGCTTGCTTGTAATTTTAATAGTCTGATGATGTTTGTAGAATAAAGATGAAATATCACTGATTTTGTCTTTACACTCTTGTTTTATCTTGAATTTCAAGAATACAAGAGTATCGATTTTCGGAATCTTCGGATTTACTATCCTACGAGGAGTGGGATATAATGTTATAATATATAATACATATTATATTATAATATAACGTAGCTATTTAAGTTATTTCGTAACATAATGTGCTCTGTACTTTTTATCAGTTATTAATAATGTAATTTTTATAATAGTTGATCTCTGCTTAGTACGGGTACAGTATTCACATGCGGTCATGGCTCTGAATAAATTTTGTATAGATAAAGAAGTCAACAAATGCTATTGAGACGGAAAAATGTTTGGACCTCGCGAGATTTTGTAGAGTGTATCGTGCACTGACGAAACGTTACAGTAAATGTGAATCTGTCGAACAGAGCAGCTTTTCAACGGTACGTTTCGTGGTTTCATCTTGGATTTTTTTGTGACGCCAGACATAAAAATGCAATCGCGGTCATGCAGAATTGATACACCGGCAATCTTTGCTGCCAGAGACTTTTAGCAATTTCATATGACTAACTCATTTTTGGTCAGAAATAATGGCGTGCATGCATTTTAAATTATTTTGTAACCTTCAATCGTTTTCTATAGAAAGTAAATTTGGAGAGTCAAGACCTTACGATATCTGTAATTCTCTCAAGGTAAACTTCAGGAAGAACTTTGAACAGGAAGATTAGCCGTTCAAATGACATAATTTTCAAAATAGCTATCAAACAGGGTTTAATCGTGTTTATATATGGCCCCCATTTTTTTTCAATAAACGTTTACAATGTAGGTGCTAAAGTTCTGTAGTTTCAAAAACATTATTTTTGCTCTTTAAAAGAACTCCGCGCTTATATTGCGCGCAACATCGCACTTTCAATGAATTTGAACAAATGTGGCGAATCATTTGCAAATATACCGAATCATGGTGTTTGAATGTGATGCAATACTCTAAGTGTTTTAATTCTATGACAAAACCATACTCAGAGTTATAAAATTTATTGCGTTTGCTGCATGCATGCAGCGTCAAGTTTAGTATTTGTTTCATATTATGCTGAAGATGGCATGCGAACATGTCTTTGAGAAACATTAATACTTATTATTTATTAATACTTATTATTTTTGTATCAGTGTTGATGCCGTTCAAGCTGAACCAGTAGAAGAATGCTGTATATGTATGGAACGACATTCAGATGTTTCTCTTGCTTGTGCTCATAGTTATTGTAAAGAATGTATACACCAGTGGTAAGAATGGGAAAGTATATATATACGCTCGTTCCATGTACATCTCCATCGGATGGTCTTGGCCGAGGCTAACTTGAGATCCGCTCTGTTTTCGGCGTTTGGTGTTTGTAAGTCTATATACTATTTTTTCGAAGAACACAGATAAGATAGCCAACCTTGTTCGTTCGCTAAAAGCCGTGTAGTTGTGCAGAAGCAATTTTCAAAAAAACAGTCCTGAGTTTCTGCGATTCTAATATAAGAAACACCCTTCTTCTTCATACATTCTCTGATGTATCATCCATATTTTTGTTAAATCTAAAGGCCCTGTTACACGGTGCAATTTTTCTTGCAACTTGCAATGCAATTCTACTTTTAAGAGATGTATATTTATTACACTTCATGCACTTTTTTTCTGCAAGACTGTTCACTAATTTACATATCTTAGAAGTAAGATTGCATTGCAAGTTGCAAGAAAAATTGCACCGTGTAACAGGGCCTTAAGCGTGCAGATATTCGAATTATTGACTAAAAATCAACTGACTAGAACTATGCGTCCGTTAAATCACAGTTAATCACATAAGTTTATGTTTATGGTTTTATCGAGTTTCGACATTTGAATGAAAGCAAAAATCCTACTGAAAAGTACCTTGTTCAAGTAACCACAGTTAATAGAATATACATGGTTTGGAGACTAAATAAAAGTACAACACAACTCATCAACTATGTTATTGTCCAGGTTTATGCAAAAAATGGTTCCTTTCTCGTCGCGCGTCTTTTGCATTTTAGCCAAATTTACCAATGGCATTCGTCTTGCTAAGCTCATCAACCTTGACGTGAAAAATATGTTAATTATAAGATTGTTGTTGGTTTATCTGTGCAAAATACAATAAACATGTGATGAGTAAGGAACAATTTTTTGCTTAAATGCATGTACCTCAACATAGTTAACGAGTAGTATTGTAGTTTTATGTGGTCTCCAAACCATGTATATTCTATTAACCGTGAAGTAACTAAGTAGGCTCAAGAAAAATTAATCGTGAAAAAAGAATTCTGCAAAATAAAAACAGTTTAAGAACTACGTTATTTTAGGTTCGATGAGCATAAAACTTGCCCAATTTGTCGTAAAAAAGTGGACGGTCATGAGGAATTCTGGGTAATAGCTGACAAACCAACTGAAAGTGAAATGGCCGATTACGTCATGGGTTTTACAGATGAAGATAAACATTTATAAAGAGATTTTTAGTTCCAATAATATTCACTTTCGAAAGTCAGCATCGACTTTTGCTTTTAGAAGTTTTGGCATAGTGATGGGGCATTTAAATTATAACAATAGATTAATTTCTAAAGGTCTAGTTTTTTTTATGCAATATATATATATATACTCATTTTTCCATAGAATATACAACAACTATTTATATATAGTCGTTGCCGAAAAGGTTGTCCTGTCTATATATACATATACAGTAGGAGGCAAAAGTTTGAGTCCTGTGACTGTATTTCATTGTTTTAGCAGCATATATTATTATTCTACAGAAAACCTTTAATACCGATAAGTGAACAAGAAAAAAAGTAAATAAGTCAACTGAAAAATACATGCTGTACAACAACTATGAGATGTTATGATATTCATTTAACGTATGTTAATGTGCAAACATGCATTACATGTCAATGCTTAGTATCCTTCTTTTTTGCTCTTGAAACGGCCTTTATTCTTGCTGGCATAGATTCCATAGGCTTTTTAATGTCGGTTATGTCGCACGTTCAATATTTTGCCAGCATTCGTTGACCACTTGCCTAAAGTCATCCTGGCTGGTGGGTCTGTGGCTCGCCCTTTTCCGGTTAAAACGGTCCTACAAGTGCTCCATAGGTTTTAGATCTGGAATTTAAGGTAGAAAGCCATGAAAGCGAGATTACCAGAACTAGTTTGCTTCTAAAGGATTTCTGGCACATAGAAAATGTGCATGTGCTTAGGGTGATTATCATGTAGTTAGACGCGCGATCATCTTTGTACCAGATGAAATTCCATGTCCTTGAAGAATTGGATGATACTTTTCTTTAATTAGGATCCTATTATATCTTTCAATATTGCCAAACCCAGCATGACCGAAGCAGCTGAAAGTTTGCTTGAGTAGGATTTAGTTTCTTCGAACCTCTTCAAGGTTAATTGCATACCACCTTTTGAACTTCTCACTTTTTCTGCGATCTTACGAGGAAAGAATCCTTCAATACTTAATGCAACTATTTTTCCTTGTGTACCATCACTTTGCACTTTTCCCCACCCATCTTGGGCAGTGTAAAGAATAAGAACTTTATTTTGTCATAATTTAGATCACGAGGACCAAAACAGTGTACAATTAATATGGTTTACAGTACTGAAACACTAGCACGCATGTCTTAACTCGAATACGCTGCAATGATTCAATACTGGAATTCTGTATAATGACCTGTATATTCCCGTGGGTTTTGCGTGGTTTTCGGCGACCTCATGGATAATTTGAGAATACCAATACCTTTAATATTGCAATAATAGTTCTCATATAGCGCTAGAGGAAATAGTTAATACCGTGAACTCTTTGGAGATTCTTTGTGAAATAAATGTGAATTAAATATTAAGCTACTATGATGAATCAAATATAGTAGGCATGATGCATTTTTGCATAGAGATAAGCACGGGCGCGAACGGCTATATATCTCCTCAACCGCTACCAATTCCGGCAGGCACCCGAGTTCCTACCATTGATGAGCTTACTGTGAAAAGCTAACTGACGAAACGAACCGCAACATGTCAGCTGATGAGCTTTCAGACTGCGCATTTTATAGGAGAAGGGTAGGTAGAAAAGCCTGGCTCGTAATGGACCCGACCTATGGATGGAAAATTTGGATGGACCCATTTTGGGATGGACCTCTGACCCTTCGGCTTTAGTCTCGTCGTCGTTCCAAAACAAATATGGCGGATGCTTTAAGTCATCCAGAAATATTACCTTTGGAAAAACTTCAAGATATCTTAACTTCTCGGGGAATACCTTTTAAAGACCTTGTAAATAAACACAAAAGCGATTTGGTTCAACTATTCTATCGCTATGTCGTCCCTTTGCCTCAAAGAGAAAGCAATATGCGACGAGCAAATAGGCTTAAAATTGTTAGAAGAAAATTAATAGGACATGGCAAAGATCGGGAATGCAAAAGTCGTGGAATTAAGCGGTAATATAACCAAATGTGGAAGTCTTTTACACTTTTTAGATGGATTTTTAGACCACCGGATTATGAATACTGCATGCAAATGATCTTTCTGAAATACCTATGGTGTTTTAACTGTTTTAAAAATAAATTTGTAACACAACGTCAACATAACTACAATAGTATACATAATACATGTTCAACAGAATTCTATTGGGGGGGGGGGGGCAGGTTTGAAAAGTTTCTGCTCACATCTACATACACCTTAGTTACAGGAGAGGTTTTGAATAGTTGGCCTTTGCTTGTATGACTGTATGTGGCATCTAATACCTAAAACTAAGGACCTTTCACTCTTGTTTAAGGCTTATTTTTGTAAAAATATACTCACAGTTCACATTAGATTACTGAATGATGCACTCGCAACAATTGCAGCTCACAACTAAACTTTCCAGATTATTTGCAATTGTGCAAAGGGTCAAAAACAGAAAAGACATCTAGGTTTCATGGTTTTACTAATCACCCTCTAATTTAAATTACCCCAAGACATGCATGACTGTATGCTGGAAATATATATCCGTTTCTTGTATATGGAATGCAACCTGGTTTCCAACCTGATAGTGGGGTGAAGAAGCCCAGTTTGTATTTTTTAAGGTTAAGAAGGCTGTTTTTTCCTTTTAACATGAATTTATAACACTACACAAAAAATTTCTGAATCATACTAATTTTAATATTTAAATCTGACCTAAAGCCTTTATTCTAAGAATTCTATATGAGTATTACAGTATTACTACAGGGTGTCCCAAAAAAACCGAAAACTATTGAAATCACTCATTTTTAAAATTTAAATGCCGTGTGCACGAGTTTTAGCCCGTGGGGATTTAATGAAACTCAGTGAAATGCTAAATGCTTTGTGTTGCTAGAGAAAGGGGACATGTCGATGGTCATGGTGATTGAGATGCACATTTAAATATTGTTAATAAATATCATTTTCACATACGAGCAAATTGGACTGCGTCATATGCATGTATAAAAATGCTTATGGCAAACATTTGGGTCCCAACAGAGTGCTTAGGCATTCAAACTCTAACAATTACATTGTTATGAGTGATTTCAATAGTTTTCGGTTTTTTTGGGACACCCTGTATTACTCTGTACTCAATGCTCTAGTAAAACCTTTTGAAGAAATGCAGAAGAAATTAAACTGAAGTTTACTAATGAACTTTTGGTCTACATGACTCTGTGCTTTGATTCTACAAAATTACAAAAATTATTCATGACATGAAAGTTTTCATCTTCTATGTGTACGGTTTTACAGATTTGTCTTATTACCTTAAAATATATTTAATATTATTTGCCGTAACAGCTGCCTAACCTGTTAATGCTATTAATTAGAATTCTATATTAAAAAAAATTAGCTGTTATAACATATAGTTCACCTATAGTTAATGATTTCCATTGTTCACATAGAAAAAACATCTCATCAGAACTTAACAAAAGAAAAACAAAAGAAGATTTCAACTTTTCACATAAAATCTCTGCAATGCCTCTGGTCACTTCAAGCCCCACAACAGAATGTACAAACAAAGTAACAAAACTTTTTATGAATTGTGAGGTGTCAGAGCCACTGAATGTGAATGAAGAATGTTTGGAAAATTCAAAACAAAATCATTCTGCAACAAAAGCAAAAGTAACTGGACAAAGTAGCTCTTTAATGGAAGATGTATGTACATGGTTTGATCATAAGTTTTTTAGTTACTAGGATTGAATTCTGAGAACATTAAGAACAAAAACATTTTAATTTCTAACTCAGTCGCTTTCATCACTGTTTACATAGGCATACAAGGTGGGGGGGGGGGGCAGGGGGGGAAGCTGGCTTTAAAGAATGCCAAGTTGGGCAAATTTTCAACCCAGGTCGGGCAAAATTTCATAATTTCAATGCATAATTTAATAGGTTACCCTTTTTGTCAGTTAACACAACAACAACTGCTTAATTTGCTGTTAAAACTTGAACCATAAATGACTGAAACACCCATATATGATTACGGGTATGTATGTGAGGGAGGGGGGAAGGTTGTTTGAAAATTTGGCATTTTCAGCGTCGGTTGGGCAAAATGTTAACTGCCCCTCCCCTGAAACGTAGACCCTGTACGCCTATGCCTGTTTATATTAATATATATATATATATATATATATATATATATATATATATATATATATATATATATATATATACGGTTTTTAACTTTTTTATCTTCAATTGTATTGCATTGAGCTCTGTCGACCCAGTGACAACCACATTGTGTATATATGTATATATATACGTGCCAATAGCAATTAACGTATAAGAAATAAAATTGAATTGTTCCCTGCGTAAGTTTATTAAAAATATAAATTCAAATATAACTAAAGTTTAGATAACATACCATGTCTCCAGAGAACTGGACATGCACTGACCAGTGTACAACTAGAAAGTGTTTTTGCAAGAAAGGCTGCTTTTACATATTCTTCTAGTTTCCTTCCTGTGTTCTGGAAAAGGTTGAGGTCGGGTAATAAGCACCCCCTCAGAGGTTACTCCCAAGGTGGGGGTGAGGGAACAAGCACCCTCAGTCTATTGACTCTACCCCTTTCTAAGCAAAGGAACAAGAATGAATTCCCTCAATCTACCGTATCTACTATTGTATGCTGATTACACCTTCAGTCCATGAAAAACTAATGTTTCAATGTTTAAAATTAATTTAGGCAAGAAACGAGAACAATTCACAAAGCATTAAAGACAACGACACAAAAACAGCTAAGAAATTTAAACGAATTACCGTGACCTGGCCGTAGGCGTAGTATCACTGGTTTCGCCTATGCCGTTTACTACGCCCATCAATGGACAACATGGGATTACCGATTACGGCAGCATTAATTGACACAACCGTCAATAACGAATACTGTCGTTAGGTGTACCGTGTACGATGGTGTTTCCTCAGTCCCGCTAATCTTAATGAGGGCTAACTATGGCCTGTATCGTATTATACACATGGATTATTCTATTATTATAAACTTGAAGACTTTTTATTTTGCGTATGAAACCGCTGAATGTACGAACGTTTCTCTGAACGACACAATATAACATTTGAAGGCGGAAATTGTAATTTATGCCGTGCCGTTTGTCAGAGAATTTACGGTTCAACGAACTCCCTAATTTCCATCGCATTATAAAGAATGTTAATTGTTGCCTTGCGTTTTTAATTAGATTACGTTAAACAATTACCATAATTCACGATTACCATGCCTGCGTGGAGGATTTTTGGCTGCATTGAAGAATTAAGGTAACATCTCGCACCCATAAAGGCTTGCTCTTTTTGAGGAGTTTTTAGGTATAAGGGGAAATACCTGTATGGAATGTTTGCATATTTTCACAAATATAATGCTTTTTTCCCTCTCAAAGCAGTTGATTAACATACCTGCGTCATACATTAATTTAATTAAACGACGAAAATGTTAGTGAAGTTAAGTTTGCTTTAGGCAGACATTGTGTTTAGATTGGCCAAATGCGAGTGTAAGCTAGTAAACCGTGACTAATGCAGGCGAGATATTGCCGTAAACAAACTTGCTATATCAAACATATATATAAAACAAAAGTTTGATGTGAACAAAAAAAATTCAGGTAATATAAATGACCCATATATATACAGCGTCAATCAAAAAATGGCATCAAAAGTAAGATTTTAATGTATTAAGGCCACATTAAAGCACTAACAAGTCAGTCAAACTTGTTTGTTTAAATACTCAAGGGCGTAGGGATATGTTCAAGATTGAGGTGGGCCCGTTCACGAGGCGCCACCATGGTTGGCGCCGAGCAAGAAAATTTTTGAAATTTGATTGTTTTAGATCCTCGGAAATGCAAAGAATGAAAGTTGAGGTTTACACATCCAACAGCGGAAAGCAAGATACAAATTGTAATATTTCAAACAAACGTTCTGAAAAGGTAAGTAAATTATCACAAACAAGGTAAAGGCAATCACGTAGCTATAGCCTAAACCTGCGTCACTGCGTGCTCGAGAATGCTTCGGTTTTTCTACTCTGGGGACTTTGCGAAGTTCGAAGAGAAGACCAATCGCACAAATTCACAATGTATATTGGGTTATATTGCTTAATAGACCTTTACGATAGTTACGTCACAACGTCCTTGCCAATTGATCTGACACATTTTATCACTGTGACTGTGTAAATTGTATTTGTATCGAATAACGTAGTATACCAAACAACGGTTGTTAGAAACGATACAAACAAATCGTATGTTGATCATACTCAAGGAGAATTTAAGTCAAGATGAAATTCATAACAATTACCACACTAACTCATTTGTAGGTTAAGCAAGTATAAAAAATAAAAATGCGACCGAGCTAAAAGAATTGAATCATTGAATTCAAGAAGTGAGCTTTTATCAAAATGTCGGACTAAGAAACAAATTTCTGTAAAGTAGTACACCTTATATACTGTTCTCTAAAGCAATATCACCTTATGTAATCCATTCATATAACCCGTTTAAATGGCGATAATGTAGCGCGTAAGCGCGACGACACCAAAGAATAAAAACCCTGGGAACAAGGTTGAATAGGTTGAATAGACCGAAAAAGAAGCGACTCCAGAAGAAAACGTAAACAAAAACACAAACGCACTCAAATTATTATAATAACATATAACTTTTACGAATAATTATAGTGCACCGTTACTTTCTTGTTACAAAATTTTTTTGCCATAGTCATAGAAAAGATTAAAAAACAACAAAAATCCAAACAACTTCAAAGACTATATATAAACACAATATTAAAAAACAAATTCCAAATAGACAAAACATCTTGAAAGTCAATAAAATAAGATTCAAACAAGACAATTAGACAAGTTCCGTAGCTTCCGCAAGTTCCTCAGGCTCTGCAGTCCCGTTATTTAGCCACACCCTTTCATACAAAACAAATTTGTGGTGAGTAATATCTTATAAGGTAACATGATAATTTTATGTAATTTAAAATCGCAGAAAACCAAGGAAAGGCGAAAAACCCATGAAATATTCGAAGTAACAAACAACTCAAAAAAACAATGTGGTATGTAAAGTTGTATATTCCTAGCTGTATTTAATAACCCTTTCAAGGACTTTCAATTGGCGTTATCATTCAAACCTCTCTATCATCCTAAGCCCCTATTATACCGTATTCTGTTACTTTCCTACCTCCTTTTACATATTGTTTCGAATGTTTCTTTCACACTTATGAAAAACTCTTGAGCGAGATAGAATGCATACATTATTATTTGAATATATAAGTTCGTGGGAAATACAAGTAAACTTGTCAAACTTTAGAGAAAGGATTAATTTCTGGATCGTAAAAGGTAAATAGTTTTCTCTTTTCCTCATTTAGAGTTTGCCTTGAACTATTCGAAAATTCAGCGTAATAAGATTGCTAGTACAGTCCCAAAATGGCCCAAAGATATATATGGTCATGGATGCAGTAAAGCGCAACAGTTTGAACCCACAAGCAAACGCAAGGTGGCCTGGCTCAAAGAATCCAGCACACAATGCAATGATCACAACAGACCAGCGTTGTTGTGCAAAAAAGAGGTATAGTGCTTTTTTCTAAAAATTTATTTCCTACAAAAAAGTTTATCTTTTCGCCACAAGCACATTCCTGTAATTCTAACATGCTAATTCTCTCTAATATTCAGAAAGACCCTTCTGACGTTATGGATTCAGATGTTGATGAGGTAGGCGATGACACAGGGGAACTGGACCAGTTTTTTGCCTCAATAAGTGGGTAATTTCATTAATAGAAATTTGAAAAGGAAGAGTTCTAAGAATAAAGGAAGCATAAAATGTTTGGGAACATGAAATGTTTTACTGTGAGTCATGCTAATTGATATTTTCCTTGGAATGATGAAGTTTATATATTTTATCATGCTTAGCCTTGCTTTTTAAAATTATTGAGTACATTGCTTAATTTGGAGTAAACTTTGTACATTCATATTATATTGATTGCAATGCTAATGCTGATATAGGCATGTGTTAATTAAACTATAAAAAATAAATCTTTTATTTCATTAACAACTGTTAAATGCATTTTGGCAAAAAATATACATGTATTTACATGTACCAAATATGACATCTCGCATTTAAACAATTTACAGGAACTGATGAAACTAACAAGTAATTATTATTCTCTGAAACAACTCATAATAGTGGTCTTTCCTATTTAGTTTGGCTCCCTATTAGACCTAGCCTACTGGATCCTGCATGAGTTGCATCACCTTATCTTGATGTTTATTAATTAAAATACTTAAAAGAATGTAACTTGTGTAAGTAGATAATAACCAGACTGATGCTAGAAAATGATGTTCAGACATTATCACCAAAGTAGTTTCGGATTTTATCCAACAACTCTCGTTTCACTTCATCTGGAACTAGTTCTAAAATACACATATACCATGGATAAGTTGCACATAGATGAATCTGCACACTTGGGTTGGAAACCTATTATAAATGTATTAGGCAAATATTACTAAAATTGGAACTTGCTCTAGATGAAAGTACTACATCTAGCTAATCCTAGTGAATTACAGTACCTGTACATATTGCTATTTTATGATATATACACAGCCATGTAGAGTATATTTATTTGGTAATGTACCTCTTGCTTTTGGTGTAACCTCACTCACTAGGTCATCAACTGTCACTTTATCCAACCCTTTTTCTCTAATTATGTCTAGGAAAAAAGCATAAATATTCACACCTTAAATTATAAGAACTGAAATTGTAAGAAGATATAAAACAATAGGCACAAATTTAAAAATTAATTTTTTGAAGTCATCATAGTCAAGTGAAACTATAGTCATCATCATTCTTCTCCACAGTTTCCATTGTTTTATTTTGTTATATATCATAGTCTTGTGAGCTATGAATTTTCGTAAATTCCAGGATCTCTAAGTTGAATATCTTTTTTGTAAAATAGCTTTACCTTTGCATTCTTGAGTTAGTCTATCCCTCCAGCCACACTCCTTTAATCTGGTTCTTAATAACTCCATTAACCTAGTGCAAAGAAGATTTAACATTACAACATTCATGTACCATTTTAGAAAAAAACAAGCCACATGGGTATATATTCCTATGTAGTTCAAGGTCAATGAAATTACATGTCATTAAAAAGGTACACCTTGTTCTATCCATTTGTCAGATTACAATGTACATCAGTTATAACATTCAAAAAGTATTAAGTGTTCAATTTTTAACATGTCCAGTGTGCTGTTAGAGTAATTCAGGTACATACCTAATCACTGTTTAATAAGGTAGATAGATATATGCCTACAATTTAACCACGGAGCTTAATTTTTATGTTGTATTTGGATAGATATTAGATCAACGTAATTAACTGCTAATTATCAAGCATTAACAGCTCTTAAAATACATTGTATTGACAACTAGTCAACTATAGCCTTGGATGTTTATAACTGTTAAGCATTAACACTTAACATCATATTTCCTAGCAGCAATAAAATGGTAAGTTTTATTCCACCTACAAGATCATAGAGATCATACACTGGCAAATGCTATGTGCTCACGAGTGTCGTTTTCGAGCGTTTTCAAAATCGTTTTCAAAATCGTTTTCATCTAGTTTATCGCTGTGACGCCCTGCACACGCGATCCAAGGGCAAATATGCTAAATATGTTAAATTAGCTTCAACCCCTACTGTAAATTGATGGTGTTTGAAACCGTTTTGGCATGAAAACGAAAATGAAAACGCTAGAAAACGTTACCGTGTGCACATAGTCTTAGTGTCTACTGTCTAGTGGTACCAGTAGACAGTAGTCTAGTACTAACTATAAAGTATAAAGTATTTAAAAAGTCTACAATGCCTTTCTCGTTCAAAATTTTCATTTAGTTTGTCATTGATTGCACTTTTCATTTCTGAATCTCGTTGCTTTCTGTCCAAACTACAAACGTTTATGTAAAAAAATTGTAAATGATTGTAAATATAAAAAAATGTATATATCAATAATATTATAATATATATATTATAATATTACTATAATCATTTTGTACTTACTCGGCAGCCATCTTGGCAAGATTTGTAAAACTTCATGTAACAATGTATTTTTCTGTGATGATAAAAATGGGTCGACGTCATAAATTTTGCAATAAAGGAAGTATAATAACAGAAGTCTTACATGAAGTCTTCCTAGAGCTGGTTCATAAAAATGATAAAATAAAAATGGCAATGAATGATGATACATTTATACATTTATAAATGTACACGAAACAGTAAATGTCTGTTACCCTTATACCCAGTATAGGAGTGATCATATACTTATGTAATAGTATCTCTGGCTTTACCTTAATTAGGGTTAGGGTTAGGGTTATTGAAAATTTTATGACGTCATGTACGTTAGTTCGATATGATCTAACGCCGACCATAAAAATGATGGTTCAAAATTTCATGATTTGTTGCCATATTTGTTTCAAAACTTATGTTAAAAGAAAATACACACAGCTTCGTTATTTGCCTTGCGATTGATCAAAATCATGATCGTTAGTATTTTTCAAGTAGTCTACCTGGTATATCCGACACCGCGGAAATTGGTATAGGCTTAGCCGCAATTCTCGATACTTAGACTTCAAACTTGGTGAGGAAAAAGATTTATAAATATTCAAGAAAATATGTCTTGCACAAAAGATTTGAAGCTTGCTCACGGTAAAAACGAATCGTCTGAATTAATAACCTTGTGTATACTTTAAGCCTCAAAATGGCCATTTCACAGCGGTCAGATGTGTATGATGAGCTGTCAAAAGATTGCAGAATGCGTATCAGAAGAAAATTGAACTTTTTTAAGATATTCAAAAGGTTTCTCTTTGATAGGGCGATACAGAAATGCACAATTGTGAACCAGCGATTAGATTTTCGGGTTGAAACGTCTTAAACACCAATTTCTGCGGTGTCGGTATATCCATTGATATTTTTGTTTAACGCAAGCTCATAACTTGCGAATGGGGTCAATTTCGGAGTTCGCAAATATCGAAAGATAAAAAATGGTAAAAGAAAATTGCTACCAAGTACCGAGAAAAAAGTTGTTATAGTTTAAATTAAAACGATTAACGCGAAAAGCGAAGGCTTTTATATCAAACTAAAGCCGGTTTTCCACTAGGCGATATTTTTCGATCATAGGAAACTTTTCGTTCGATTTTTTAGGCCCTGGGGACGAGGATGGAATGGGGCTTGTTTACTTCTTTCTCGACTTCTTTTTGGAATTTTGAATTCACGCTTAATTGTTATCATGAATTTGCCCTACATTTAAATCATATTTTTAAATCATTTTTGAGGCCAACAAACCGTTTTCTGACTATGTTTAATGAATATAATGATTCAGTATAACTTGGCATAAAATGTGTTTAACAACTGCCTAAATGGACAAAAACACTTGTTATGGACAAAGCAGTTGTCATACCACATTTGACGCTAAGTTATTTGAAGACGCTGCCACGCTGCTCCTTGGTTATATTGGAAATTATTCAGTAGCTCTATTAAACAAACCATAAAGAACGAACACACAAATTACCTCCCTGAATTTAAAACTGTGCAAATAAGTCTCAACAAGGAAGCAGGAACACGAAATGAAATCGCATGTTTTTCCTCGCTCTTATTGTTCTTGCTAGCTCACCCCATGATGATGCTTTGCATCTCCCAAGTATATTTTACTATTCTGGACCTGCGGCTAATTCCCTGTAAGAGTAGCACGCCCGGTATAATAACTAAAATTCGCCGGAGATGTTAAACGCCCGCAGAATATCAAACGTCGAACTGGTAGCTATATTAAAAATTATAGATCATACTGATGAACGAATGTCTCAGGATAAGATGATGAACGAATGTCTCAGGATGAGATGATGAACGAGCGTCGCAGTATGAGATGATGAACGAATGTCTCATGATGAGATAATGAACGAATGTCCCAGGATGAGATGATGAACGAATGTCTCAGGATGAGATGATGAACGAATGTCTCTGGATGGAGATACGAACGAATGTCACAGGATGAGATAATGAACAAATGTCGCAGCATCAGACTATGAACAAATGTCGCAGGATGAGATGATGAACGAATGTCTCAGAATGAGATGATGAACGAATGTCGCAGTATGAGATGATGAACGAATGTCTCAGGATGAGACTATGAACGAATGTCGCAGGATGAGATGATGAACAAATGTCGCAGGATGAGATGATGAACGAATGTCTCAGGATGAGATGATGAACGAATGTCGCAGTATGAGATGATGAACCAATGTCTCAGAATGAGGTGATGAACGAATGTCGAAGGATGAGATGATGAACGAATGTCTCAGGATGAGATGATGAACGAACGTCGCAGTATGAGATGATGAACGAATGTCTCAGGATGAGATGATGAACGAATGTCGCAGTATGAGATGATGAACAAATGTCGCAGTATGGGATGATGAACGAATGTCTCAGGATGAGATGATGAACGAATGTCTTAAGATGGGATGATGAACGAATATCGCAGCATGAGATGATGAACGAATGTCGCAGAATGGGACAAGGGCGGCGGAACAGGGGAGCTAGGGGGGCTTTAGCCCCCAAAGAAGTAAAAGTGGGGGGCTTAGCCCCCCCAAAAATTTCATGAAGAATTCCAGAATGAAGAATGAGAGATGCTTTTTCAAATGTAGAAGATATCACTGCACGCGCTGTGCCGTTTTCAGTTTGCGTTTTCCCATGAAAAACTACGATAAAAGCGGCAAGTAAGACTCTGAAAAGGCAATTTCCGAAGATCTAGAGCACTGAAATTAAAAAAATATTTCCCTCGGCGCCAACCATGGTCGCCCCTCGTGAAATCAGCCCCCCCCAAAATGTATTATGTTCCGCCGCCCCTGGAATGGGATGACGAACGAATATCGCAGTGTGAGATGACGAACAAATATCGCAGTATGAGATGACGAACGAATATCGCAGTATGAGATGACGAACGAATATCGCAGAATGGGATGATGAACGAATGTCGCAGGATGAGATGATGAACGACCGTCGCAGGATCAGACTATGAACAAGTATCGCAGTATGAGATGACGAACGAATATCGCAGTATGAGATGACGAACGAATATCGCAGTATGAGATGACGAACGAATATCGCAGAATGGGATGATGAACCAATGTCTCAGAATGAGGTGATGAATGAATGTCGCAGGATGAGATGATGAATGAATGTCGCAGGATGAGATGATGAACCAATGTTTTAGGATGAGATGATAAACGAATGTCGCAGTATGAGATGATGAACGAATGTCTCAGAATGAGGTGATGAACGAATGTCGCAGGATGAGATGATGAACGAATGTCTCAGGATGAGATAATGAACAAATGTCGCAGGATGAGATGATGAACGAATGTCTCAGGATGAGATGATGAACGAATGTCGCAGTATGAGATGATGAACGAATGTCTCAGGATGAGACTATGAACGAATGTCGCAGGATGAGATAATGAACAAATGTCGCAGGATGAGATGATGAACGAATGTCGCAGTATGAGATGATGAACCAATGTCTCAGAATGAGGTGATGAACGAATGTCGCAGGATGAGATGATGAACGAATGTCTCAGGATGAGATGATGAACGAATGTCGCAGTATGGGATGATGAACGAATGTCTCAGGATAAGATGATGAACGAGTGTCTCAGGATGAGATGATGAACGAGCGTCGCAGTATGAGATGATGAACGAATGTCTCATGATGAGATAATGAACGAATGTCCCAGGATGAGATGATGAACAAATGTCGCAGTATGAGATGATGAACGAATGTCTCAGGATGAGATGATGAACGAATGTCTCTGGATGGGATGACGAACGAATGTCACAGGATGAGATAATGAACAAATGTCGCAGCATCAGACTATGAACAAATGTCGCAGGATGAGATGATGAACGAATGTCTCAGAATGAGATGATGAACGAATGTCGCAGTATGAGATGATGAACGAATGTCTCAGGATGAGACTATGAACGAATGTCGCAGGATGAGATGATGAACAAATGTCGCAGGATGAGATGATGAACGAATGTCTCAGGATGAGATGATGAACGAATGTCGCAGTATGAGATGATGAACCAATGTCTCAGAATGAGGTGATGAACGAATGTCGAAGGATGAGATGATGAACGAATGTCTCAGGATGAGATGATGAACGAACGTCGCAGTATGAGATGATGAACGAATGTCTCAGGATGAGATGATGAACGAATGTCGCAGTATGAGATGATGAACAAATGTCGCAGTATGGGATGATGAACGAATGTCTCAGGATGAGATGATGAACGAATGTCTTAAAATGGGATGATGAACGAATATCGCAGGATGAGATGATGAACGAATGTCGCAGGATCAGATGATGAACGAATGTCTCAGGATCAGATGATGAACGAATGTCGCAGGATGAGATGATGAACGAATCTCGCAGGATGACATGATGAACGAATGTCTCAGGATGAGATGATGAATGAATGTCGCAGGATGAGATGATGAACCAATGTTTTAGGATGAGATGATAAACGAATGTCGCAGTATGAGATGATGAACGAATGTCTCAGAATGAGGTGATGAACGAATGTCGCAGGATGAGATGAACGAATGTCTCAGGATGAGATGATGAATGAATGTCGCAGGATGAGATGATGAACCAATGTTTTAGGTTGAGATGATAAACGAATGTCGCAGTATGAGACGATGAACGAATGTCGCAAGATCAGACTATGAACGAATGTCGCAGGATGAGATGATGAACGAATCTCGCAGGATGACATGATGAACGAATGTCTCAGAATGAGATGATGAATGAATGTCGCAGGATGAGACGATGAACCAATGTTTTAGGATGAGATGATGAACGAATGTCGGAATATGGGATGATGAACGAATGTTGCAGTACGAGATGACGAACGAATATCGCAGATTGGGATGATGAACCAATGTCTCAGAATGAGGTGATGAACGAATGTCGCAGGATGAGATGATGAACTAATGTCTCTGGATGGGTTGATGAACGAATGTTTCAGGATG